TTATGTACTTCAATATAAGCATCTAATTCTAATTGAATATAATGATCATTATGTGCATTCTAAATCATGTTTAATAATTATTCACATAACTAAATTATGTGATCTCCACTTTGATGAGGATGAATATTAGCTGCAAATAAATCTACTTATTCAGATGGTTCCCTTATTATGATAATTGTCAGAAATGGAATACCAATTAACCATGCATATAAAGATTTTCTAAAGTAGTAACCTTCCAATATAGCAGCAAAGGTAAGCATCAATGAAGTCCAAAAATTTAAAGCAGTTATTATAACCCATAATGTTTAAATATTTTTATTATGAAATGGCTAAGTAGACTTAACTAAATAAAAAAGCAAATAACTATTAATTAAAAAGACAATTAAAATCACTGAAACGTACTAAGGAGTTTCCAAAAGTTAATATGTCATTATATTAATTAGTATGCAATAATGATAAAAAGAATAAGGCCTACCAGTCCTTTGTGAAAAAGTATTCATTTAAGTTTTCTTTGATTAATAACAGATTAATGAAACTATGCTAATTAAGCCCTAACTTAAAATTAAACTCAATATAGCAAAAATAGCATGAATACTATATTCAAAAGTCCAACAAACTTGAGAATCTAAATAAACCATTACTTAAATTCCATCTTTTTCATGACAAGCCAAATACTAATATATTCAACAAGAAGACTTACTCCAAAAAATATTTGCATAAGTGGAAAATAACCTATTGTCAATAAAAATTTCAACATATAGCCAAGCATTTTAATTAAAATTATTGGGGCATCTTTGTCTAATATTCCAACCAAAAATAGTAACATTATAGTTAAGAGGACAATGGAAAAGAAGAAATACAGAAAGGCTAAAAATATTGAGAAATCAGTATTAACAATATGCAACAAAATTGTAAAGTAGCTATGTGATCACTTTATTATTTTACCTTAAAAATTAAGTAATTATTTCTGTTAACTAAGAGTTATTCCATAGATATGAGGTTTTTAATGCAAAAGCTAAGTAAATTAACTAAAACATTTATATAAAAGATAGAGCCATGCTAACATATATAGATTAGTTATCAAATTATAAAACTTAATATATTGCACTAAAAATATAAATAATTTACTTGAACAATTTAGATCTCATGAAAACATACACCTTTTAGAACAAGGAAGTATGTAATCCTAAATTTTTTAAATTATTCATAATAAAAATATTGTTATATATATTATTATTAATAATCAATTATTATGAAATACTTTTTATGTATATGAGAGTAAATTAATATGTTATCAAAAGTAGAAATAGTATTAATTAAAACATTCTTATTTTTTTGAAATTATTATATTTGATTTACACATATCAAAGAAATATACATATTCATAAAAATAGTAAATATTTAGAAAATAATAAGCTAAATAGTCTAATTAAAATCCTATCGTTTAAAATTTATTGGAATAATAAAAAAGCTATTTATTAATATTTTAATAGTATTAAAAAAGAGCTATGTATATTTATTGATTAGAATGTTATCTAATAAAAATTTAATATTCAAGTTCTAAATGAGTAAATAATCTTATAGATTTTATTGTAAGCAAGACTTTATTTTCTATTTGATTTTTGGATATAAATATTTAGTTTTTTTGAACTTGATAGAATATTTGATGATTTAAGATTTATAAATAAGTTAGTTAATAGTATTTAAATAAATATTTTTTTGGATATTTTGTGTAAATTTCATATTATAAGTCTTTTTGAAATATTATTTAATAATGGTAAAAAGCTTTTGAAGAGATTCAAATTTATTTAATAAGATATATTATCATGTAACATCAATAAGTAAATCATTAAAAATATTATTCTAATTGGGTTCATTCGACTAAAGATTTCAATATATTTAATAAACTATTTTATTTTTCCGATATTAACTTTATTAATAAAAATAATTACATCATCAGAATCCGAAATAGTGTGATATTAAACTGATTAATTAAATTAAAGCATTTTTGTAAATTCTGCCTAAAATAAATTTTATTTGCTATTATTTCCTTTATTGACAACAACAACGAATGCATTGAATAAAGGATAATACAATTCTATATTATTTTATAAATTTATACCTTAGAAAATCTATAAAGGATTTAAGTGATTGAGTATCCAAATATGGAATTTATGAATTACATTTCCAAAAGTAATTGTATGAACATAACAATCTTATTTAAAAATGATGTAACTTGATTATGTCTATTCTTCGGTAGTGCTATCAGTTAGATTATCTGAAGTTTCTGCTAAGTTTAATCAGATTAAACTTACAGGAATCTAAAATAGATTACAATCTCTTTAGATTCATAGAAAAATCCTCACAAATCAACAATAGAAAGTGAGATTTATAAATAGTGGCCTTTTCAAGCAAGAAGATTGGCTCAGAACCAAATGGATCAAATGAAAAATCATGATTTATAATAAATCCTTCAAGTTATGGAGAAGGCTGTTAGTGTTCTTAGAGTATTTATTGGCATTCATCTTATTTGGCTAATTTCTAAAGGATAGTTAAAGTTGATGTTAAACTTAAAGATATTCTTCTTCGGTTTCAGCATGAACTCCATTTCTTCTTTATCTTCTTCTTGTTTCACATAATATCATTTATTTTAAATTTTTTTTAACTTAATACCTCATAAATTATCGTCTGTCAATGTAAATTGAATTACCAGTTGTATATTAATTTGAATGCTTTCGTAAAGGAAAAAATGGAAACAAGAAATATATTGGAATATTAAGACAAGATAGATTGGATTTATGTAAGGTATAATACCTTAAAAACTATGAAATTTTAGGATAACCAACCAAATTTTAAGTATTCTTTGCCAATTTAACTTTAAACACATATAAAGTGGGAAGTAGAAGAAGACAATTAAGAAGGGAAAAAGCATTACAAAATAGTCTCATTCAAATTTTAATAAGTTGTCTAATTCATTCTTACATTCATTAGGTTAAATAAATAAACGAAAACCATGTTGCCAAAATAACTACTTTTTGTGGAGATGAAAAAACTTTATCAACATTAAAAGAACATTTGAGAAATAAGATCATCTTTTAAAGAATTCAAGACTTTTATACACCTTTGTAAACATTAGGGAAAGGGGCTTCATCTAGAGTTTTATTGGTGAGACATAAGAATACAGAAAATTATTATGCAGCAAAATGCGTTGACAAATCATATGTTAATGAAACAGAAAATGGAATTGTATTAGTTTAAACATAAAATAGGAATCAATGTTTTAAGAAATAGCAATTAATAATGATCTAGATCATCCTTCTTTTATAAAATTGCATGCAGTCTATGAAGGAGACAATACATTTTATATGGTTATGGATTTATTAGAAGGGAAAAGCTTGCATGAAGAATTAAATAATCATAAGAATGGATTTTCTGAAGATATTGTAAGGAATATTATGTGGGTAATAGAATTTATATTTATTAAGTAAATTTTGACTGGAATTGAATATATGCATGAAAAATAAATTATGCATAGAGATTTAAAACCTGAAAATATAATGCTACTAAGAAAAGATGATTTGAATTCTCTTAAAATTGTTGATTTTGGTTTAGCTACATACTGTAATGTAAATAAGTATAAAATATAATAATTAATAAGATATTTATTTCCTAAATGTGGAACACCTGGATATGTTGCTCCAGAGATAGCTAATCTTACTGATAAAACTTTAAAATATGATAAGGTTTGTGATATTTTTAGTGCTGGTGTGATATTTTTTAAATTGTAAATTCTATCTTAATTATAAGATTAACAGGAAAAGATCTATTTCCAGGAGTAGGATTTAATTTAGTTTTGAAATTAAATAAATAATGTAAAATTGATTTAACTCCTTTACAAATGAAAAAAATTGATCCTTTTATAACTGTATTTATTTTACCTAAATTTTCAGACTTTAATACAAAAAATGCTTGAAAAGGATCCAGCTGAAAGAATAACTGCTACTTAATGTTTATAAGATCCATTCTTTATTTCATGTTATTAAGAGAGTGGTATATAAGGACCAGCTAAATTAACTGCTTTTCAGAAAAAGCAAATGTTTTCTACAAGTGGAAAAGCTTTTACTACTGAATTTAAAAATGAAAATTAAAAAGGAAGTCCTTAAGATAGAATTGAAAATAAAGGATCATTTGTAACATAGGAGACTACTTATAAACCAATTTAACAAAATTAATAGAAAATTATATAAAAATTTAATACTACAGAATTTGATCATATTGATCCTACTTAAAGTCCATCTATGGATCAAGTAAAGAAAAAATTTTAAAAAGGGGATCCTATTGAAGAAGAAGATGAAAAATGATTATTAAATCAGTTTTCATTATTATTATTTTATTAAATCCATTCTCATAATAATTGTCTTTGTCTAATTTCTATATATTTTTAATTGATTATTATCAAGTTTCTATAATATTTCTTTATTGAGTACATAAAAATATTAAAAAATAATAATGTATTTAGTGAATAACAATTAGACAATCTATTCAAAAAGTGTAAACTAATTATTTAATAATTAAAAGAACTTCAAAGAAAATTAATTTTCCATAATTGAAAGAACTTCAAAGAAGAAATTATCTTCAAAAATATTATTAATTTGAATCATATAATATTAAAATTATTTTATAATGAATTTGGTATCTTTTAATTTGAATTTAGATTTTTGGAATTTAATATAAGTATCTATACTATTACAATATCAATTATAATTTGAAATAGATAATTTAGAATGGATTATGAAAATATTAATAAGAAATATTTAGGATAGAGAATATAAGACTTAATAATATATAAAGACTTTAAAAGATAGGAGATTTAATTTAAAAACAATATTAATATTAATATTAATATCAAGAATCTATAAACTATAAACATTCATTCACAAATATAATTTTTGATTATTTTTATTTTATAAATCAAATTTTCATAACTAGACATCCAAATAATGAATGAATATCAATCATATACATCTGATAATCGTAAATCAAAATAAACTATAAATACTATGGAAGAACTTAGTAAAAATCAATCATTCAGAATTCTCAAACTGTAAACATCTGGACTTGGTAAGATGAATAATAGCAGTAAAAGAAACCCATAAAACTTTGATGTTTCTTAGGTGTCTACATCTATGCCATTAAGGTAATTGATTCCTTATTATTCCATTAAGTTAGAAGAATATGTTATCATTTTTGGCTCATGATGAGTTAAAGCGTCCAAATTCTTATGAATAGTTATATTAAGATTTGTAACAATCAAAATAATAAGTAAATAATCTTAAGGACGAAAACACAAGACTAAGAACTAAAGTATAGCATAATGAAGTATGTTTGATTGCATATTACTTAGAGAGAATTCTTAAAGTATGAAAACTTAATAGAAGATTTAACTAATCAAAAGAAATCGAATAATTAAGATCTTCAGATAATTTCACTACGTAAATAAGTTAAGGATAAAAGTTAAGAATTGGAAGATAAAATGAAAGAGTTAGAAATATTAAAGAGAAATAGTAAAGTTTGCAAATTATAAGAATTAGAAGTAATAATATTCAATTTATTATAGATTGAAAAAAAAGTATATTTTGAATAAACTTTAATGATGAAACATATGTTATAAATGGCCTAAGATCAAATTTAATATTAATAAAGCAAATTAGAATAAGTTTAATAATTAGAATCCCAATTAGATATTTGTCATGAATAAATGTTTAAATTATAATAATAGAACAATGAATAATTTGAATGTATTAATAAAAAAGAATAAATCATAAAAGAAATGAAAATTCAATTAAAAAATTAATAGACAAAATAATAACTAATAGTTTAAAAATCACAATAAATTTAATAAAAGTATGATAATTTACAATTGTTATATTAATCTATTAAAGGGGTAAACAACAATATCTTACCTAAAGATTCTGCTTAAAAGTTTCCAAAAGATCTTGTTATATTGAAATTACATTAGAGAAGAGTTACAATGAATTAATATAATAAAGCAATTGAGGTATTAAAATAAGCTAAAAACAAACAAGAGTTTAATTAATTGTTGTAAATGTAACAATATCAAATTTATATTAATTTTAGAGATCCATTTTATTTAAGTGAAACTGAATCTTAATAAGTGGTAGATAAACTAACAGGAACATAGTCATTATCTTAACAATTCATCACTTAATTAAGTTATCATTCCTTAGAAGGTTTGGATGAATAGTAGGCACAATAATTAATCAATAAGGTATTCCAATAAGTAGCGTATAGTCTCTTTAATCTAAAAAAGATCGTGTACGATAGTATTGGATTCAATACAAATACAAAAAAGTTGGAAGAGACGATATTATCAAATTTATATAGGCCATGAATTTTAATTGGGATTAATAGACAACATCATATTTTTTATTAGAAGTATATCAATTATTTAATATAAGATATTTTAAAATACTATGTCAAATAATAATGCTACAAATAATAGTGAATAGAATTCTTAAAGTATGAGAGTATCAATAGACTTTATAACTAATCCTTTTTAAAGATAATCACATCATAAAAGTTCAAATGAAGTCTAATAATAGGATAGCTTTATTAGAGATCTAAATGAGTAATAGAGTAATTAATAGGTAATTGAGAATTTTAATCCAAATGATGAAGTCTTAATTAATTAATTTTTCCCTGCTGATGAAGAAGATAAATAATTTGAAATTATAAGTACCAATCCTCAAGATAAATTGACTTCAAAATACCAATAAGACAATGAGATTTAAGAAGTTAATGAAGAGGATATGTTAAGCTCTAAACCATAAGATGAAGATAATGCTAATGATATTGCCTATTTAGAAAGTAACCAATAAGAAGAATTAGTTTAAGAAGTTAAAAGCCTTGAAATTTTGAATGATTATCAATAATGACTAATATTTTTATTATTTACACTATCTAGATAATTTAAAAATTCTATAGCTGGTTTATTTATCCACTAAAATAAATTATAATATTCTTACTCTAACTGCTTTAAATCCAGTCAGCCATTCAATATGACCTCCATTTTTTGTTAAAGCTAAAATCAGATTTTTATTGTTTAAAATTGCATCTTTAGGAATATTTGATGATTAAATAACTGGATCATTCATAGATGATACAAATAATGTAGGTACTTCTATTTATTCAATTTCTTTAACACAATTTATTTTCTTATATAAATCTTAAATGTTTTCATAACCCAATAATCTTTTTGTTACTAATTCATCAAAGTCTTCAGTTCTATAACATTTCTAAGCCTAATCTAAATTATAAAAATTATTAAATCAATATACCTACATCAATGCCTGACATTTTATATACATCAATATTCCATTTCATATTCCGAATGAAATTTTTTGTAATAGCCATATTATAAATAAATTTAGTTGGTTTCTTGATTTCTTAAGCTAAAGTATAAATATCCCATGGACAACTAATTGCAACAGCTCCTTTGATAACATCCTTATATGTTGCTAGAAATTTCACAAGTTGCAAAGAACCCATAGAAAATCCTAACATATACAGAGGAGCATCTGGGTTTTAAGATTTAATATAATTTACTCCAGCCAATAAATCATCTAATTTAGAATAATCAGTAGGCTATGCTGATATCATTCTTGAATTTGCATACCCTCTCATATTTATACAATAAACTCTAAATCCCTTACGATTTGCATTTAATACTGTATGTCTAATGTAATTACATTCACTAGCTCCAGTCAATCCATGTAATATTATTAAAGTTTTTTATTTTGGGTTCTCACTTTTATCAGATCTCAGAAATTTTTGATTTACAGGCAGAGAATCTATTGTAATTAATCCATTTTCTACGGGTACTTCAACTCGAGTCATTGGTACATATGGTACAGGATCAAATTTACTTCCATATAAACTCTATAGGAAGGCTGTTTATAAATAAATTGTTGGTTTATAAACACCCTAAATAAAATATTGTATTCTCTACTTATCTTAAAGTTGGGCATTTTTAAATAATTTCCAAATTTTAAGGAGTTTAGTTAAATGTATATAGAATATCAGTGTTCCAATAGTTTCCTTATATTTCAACTCCTATAAGAATTAATCCAGCATAAAACATCCATTTTCTAGTTCTACTCCATCCTATTCTTTATCTGTCTTGGAATTATGCAATACTCATTGAAGAAAATCGAAATTTCATTATTTAAATTTAATGATTATACGTAAACCAACAACTATTACTTTGAAGCCAGAAGATGATTATTAAGAATATGAAGATTTTAAAAAAAGATAAGAAGACTAAAAGAAGAGTTAAATGTAATAAAAGAAAGAAATGTTCACTTGGTCATAGTAATAATAAGCTTAGATAATACATTAAGTTTGAAAATTTTGAATTTAAAAATAGGCCCCAAAAAATACAAGAAGATCAATTCAAGTTGCCTAAGAACCAACAATTGAATTTGAACCTGATTCATACTTTGATATTAACAATTAAATCCCTGTTAACCAATTATTTAGAATGATAAATCCATCTCCTGATACCATGTAACAAGAGCCATAATGATAATATTTATATCTTATTTGATATATAAAATTACTTATGATATTTTATATTACTAAATTGGCCTACTTCTCATTCATTTAACAATATAAATGATTTATAGAATAATCTTTATTTGTTTTATATAAAAATGATATTATTTTTAATTAATTAAGGGTTAAAGATTTCAATATCATGTTTATCTTTTTCTTCTTTCTTATTTGAGCAATATTTGAATTATATAATCTTCTCACTTTCGCTTTAATTAAATCTATTGATATTATATAATATTACAATAAATAATTACAATTATTAGGATATTAAAAATGATTTTTTATCTTGTTTAAATATTTTTAATAAAATTTTTACTCTAGAGCAGCAATGTTTGCATATTCATTGATAAGGAATTTCATTTCCAAAATCAAATGAAAAAGGCTTAAACAAATTATTGATATCTAGTATTATGTTTTAAGTTTAAATAAACCTTTATTTTAATCTAATAATACTTCAAGTATTATTAGATAGGTAGAAAGGATATAAATAAATTATAATACAACCTGGTTATTAGTCTGTAACCTTAATTTCTCTAATTATCATTTTCATCAAAATTTTTGAATGATGTAATGTTACAAATTAACAATTATCCATAAATTATGGATGCCTATATTATTTGATATGGCAAAACTAATTAATTGATATAGAGCATACTTCAACATTTTGTACATATATATTCATATTAAAAATCACAATATTTATATTTACATATATCTAAATGACATTACATATCTAGTTAAAAATACAGAAAATATTTTTCTTTATCCCCCATTAAATATTATGATATAACATGGTGAATCATTGAAAAAATAATCATAATATTTAAAATAATGAATTAAAATAACCTTGGCTTCAACAATAGGAAATACTAATATATTAAAACTGACTAGAGAATCTCACTTCTTGTCGATATTTTAGTCGAAGGCCTATCAATAAAACAAGCTGCAAAGAAGAATAATATCAAATTCTCTTCAGCTAAAGTAATTCTAAAGCTTTTCAAACACGAAGGACGTATTGGGAAACTTAAAGAAAATTAATTAACTTAAACGGACAGTGGTTCATAATTACAACAATCAACTTAAGTAATTGATCAAAACTCACAAATCTGCAAGGATCTTTTGAAATAAATAGATGATTGTAAAGCTAGAAACTATTAACTGCAGTAGGAGCTGACATTTTATAAATAAATTAATAATTAATTAAATTTAGAATGAAATTATAATTTAAATCAGCATTTTAATTATTTAGAAGGAAGAAGTTTTATTTATTGATCATATCCACTTGATCTTTCTTTATCTAAATCAATAAATTCATTCAGTAACTATTCTAATTTATCATTGTTTTATTCATACATTTTTGGATGATAAAAGATCACATTTTTATCTATGTTTTACTAAGATAATTTTTAAATTAGTACTTATTTTAAAAAGTATTTAATTTCCTTCAAAAATGCTTCAGCAATAGACCTATCTTAAATTATAGCAATCATATCATAAATATCTGTTGGTAATTACATAGCCATTCTTCTAAGAATATAGAATGGTATAAATTCTTCTATCTTCTATATGTTATCTATAGGCATTTTCTTTTTAAATAAAGATTTTCTCAAAAGTTATAATCTTTCCATAAGTAAATCGAATTTAGACTAAACTAGACAATATCCATATATTTAATGATAAATGGGTTATTCCTTCATTTTTGCCTCTATCAATTAAGTTTGCCAAGTTTTTTGTTTATTTTAAGGTTCAAATTTGAAGTCATCTAAATTAATTTCTACTTCATCTTATGTTTGTAATGAAAATATTTCTGGAGTTTATTTGAAAGCTTGGATGATTGGAAGAGATGGTTTTTTGTTCTTTTTAACATCTGAGTAATCCTTGATTTTTTTTAAAGATGTTTCATTCAAATACTCAGCTAATTATTTTTAGAATAAATTCTTAGCTTATAAAAAATTCATATTTATATTCAAATAAAAAATTTAGCCCAAAAATTCCATTTAAAAGTATATTAATAAAAGCAATTCATAAATAGTATTTAAATCTATATTAATATAAATATAATATGTCTTATAAATAAAGTTAATAAATTTAAATCCTTAATTCATGCACTAAAATGATATGATACAAAGAAACCAATTATTTAAAAAATCATAAATTAATAATATTGAATCTTTATAATAATTTAGATATTCAAAATTAAATTTAAATACTATTAGATTAGAAATACAAAAATATTAACCTTAAAAAATATAATAAATTTTTAACATATAAATAATCATCATTACCAATGATCTAAATCTTCTAACTCAGGTTTCATTTATTGTTGTACTTATTAAACTTATTTATTTTGTTCTCCTCCTTGTTATCTTATTTAAACCTTTAATTCAGTTATAGGTTCTTTTCTATATGGTATAATAGTATTATTCAATAAAATATGAGGGAAAAACTTATATTACCAAAATTTAATAGAATTATCTTTACTACTTGTCATAAGTAAACCAACAGAATCAAACAATTAAATTTTTGTTATATCCTTATCATGTGCATCTAATGAATACAGATATTTCATGTTTGTTGATTCTAAAATAACAACACAATTTCCATAATTTACATAGATTTCTTTTGTACTTATTGAAAATTGAACAACTTTATTTGGAAGTGTTTTAAGCAACGTTATTTAATTTGAATTCTTTTCTTTCCCTTGTTTTCCAATTTCAAATACACTTAGATATCCCTCTTTACTACCACAAATTAAATAGTTTTTAATAGGACAATATTAAATTGAAGTTAAATGCATAGTAATATCCTATTTAATTTAATGAATAGCATGTAAAGGACCATTTTCAAAAGAGAAAATATATATACTTCCAATATTATCACCTACAAAAAGTCTATATTAGTTAGTAGTCATACAAGTTAATTCATTCGTAAATTCCTTTTCTATTATCAAATAATGTATATACCTTTTAAAATACTACTTGGATTTGCAAGATCTGTTGTTATAATACATTTATCTTTTCCAATACTGTAACAATGACCTGTCAAATTATTAAATGCTATTCCATTAATTGATTGAGTATGTTTATGTATAGAACAAAATTCAGAATATTCTAAATATTATTTATTGGTTGCAATTCTTAAACAAACAATATGACCATCATCAAATCCTATACCTAAAATAGTTAATTTTTCTTCCCATCTAATCATTGTTCCTCTATGTTAATATTATACAGTCCATAAACTTTATGCAACAGCTTATCCATCCTAATTTACATCTAATCTATAACATATTAATTATGTATGAAATGATGGTTTTAGTGATTTACCAAATATACCCATAAATCCTTACATCTTACTAGATATAGAATCATCTGTAGTCAATACAAATAACACTTGAGTATCAATTTCATAATGAAAATCTGTTATTGGAAATGCATGACCATAATGAATTTTCAAAGAAGGTTTTGGTTAGAATAACCATTTGTTGTTAATTAATTGTGATAACTATTTTATTATATGTATAGAATTACTTCACAAAAATTATAAAAGCTTTCACTTCCTAAAACATCACATCGCCAAATTAAGGCTCCCAACCATTTTTCTAAATCTACTCTTCTCCTTTCTGCATCTAAAGTATTTGACTTGAATCCAAACATTCCTATTCCTGGTAATTAAGGTAAATCAGGACATTAAAGTGTCAATGTTTTGCATAAAGCTAAACAATTATCATATGTATATTCAAGATCAGATCTCTTAAATGGTTCAACTAATGTATATTATAACACTATTTTATAATATGTTTGACCATCTGCTTTCTCTCTATAACCAGGAACTTTAAACTAGGTTAATATTTTAATATACTTTTAAATGTGCCCCTAAATATTCAATTCCATTAAGAGTGTCTAAACTCATAATTAAATAAAATGTTTTTGGGGCGAAGAATATTTAGAGCTTTTTGCTCCAAAGCTTAATATAATATTCCCATATTCACATCAAGCAGAGGTCCATAAGCTAATAAACATATTGATGATGTCCTTTTAGATCAGATGGTCAAAGGTTTTAAGAAAGCATATACCGACAAATTTTTGTTAGACTTTAAAAAAGTTATCATAAATAAAATATTTTAAGGTAGTCTTACCTGCTAAGAGAGTTAGATCATTAGATGATCATGTAATAGGTCTATGGAAAAAGCATGAAGTGGCAGTTGTGATTGAAGGAAGAGATGAATTTGAAGATATTGATATAGTTTTAGATTACTATTAAGTGGCAGCAGTTAAAAGAAGAATTTGTGCAAATGTTGCTCCAATTTATATCAGAGTACCTGGACATGATGGAGACATTCGTTGTACTTTGGGTGAAATCATTAAAGATCCTAGTAACAATGATAAGTTTAATTGATAGAAAGTGGTTGGCCTTTCAAAGTAACTTTGAGAAGATACATAGTAGGCAGACCAAATCTATTGTACATACCAATTACTATATTACCAAATAACTCAAATCCAGCATTAGTTAGGGGAACTGATTATGATGTACATATTGAAGGAGTTTGGATAAATTCATATAATGCTACTTATCCTACAAAATTCTTTGTTGATGCTAAGAATATTAAAACATACAGACCATATAAATTAGGAGATTTATAAAATACATTCCCATAAGGTATATTATTGCATGAAAGATACAAAAAACTAATCCATTGGAATGTTGTAACTTTAGCTAGAGATGAAGATGATGTAAGAATATCATAATTATCTTAATTAGAAATTCTTTGAAGAAGCTGAATTCTAAAGATCAAAGAAAGATGATGATTTATTGATCTATAGAAAACCAGATGATGAAGGTGAGGAAACATTAGAAGGAGAAATGTTATATTAAAAGAAAAAAGTAACAGTAGAGAAGAAATAAAAAAAGAGAAAGGAAAAATCTCTTAAAAAGAAAGTTAAACAAGCAAATTAAGAATTATAAAAAGAGGTAGCTGCTGCAAAGGAAGCAAAGGAAGCTGCTGCAAAAGAAGCTGCTGGTAAAAAATGATGAGTTTATAGTATATATTCATTATAATGATTATTGGTTCATAAATTTATCAAAATTATTTAAAATATCCAAGTTCTCTTTGATAATTTGTTTTACAAACCCAATTAATATATCATATCTTACTAAGACTTGTCTTTTTTATGGTAAATATGATCTAGTAGATTAAGGTAGACAAGAGAGACGTTTTGTATTTATTCTGAATCCCTATCCTTTATATCCTTCACTATGAAATGAAGTAAATTATCTTGGAGAATAAGTAAGTGATTCCATCTTCTCTAAACTATTCTTCTAAGATTTCATTAAATATTAATTCTATCTCTTAGTAAACTATTCTTTTGTAACTCTGGCTTAAACTTGAGTCTAATCTGTTTCGATATAATTAATTAAAGGCTCTAGATATCTACCATTTCCTATTCCCCCAAAGACTGCTATCTTTGAACTAAGTAATACTGAATTATGAGCACATCTTGGTACATTAATACCTTCAATTACAACTTATTACCATAAATTTAATGAAGGATAAAAAATAAAACATTCACTTGATTCTAGACATCCATTAATTATTTAATCTCTTTAACCTCCTAAAATAATTATACCTTATATTTTCTTTATAAATTCCATAGTATGATTATGACAAGGCATAGGTGGTTTACCTTCAGTTTAAACAGTTTCCCAAGCTATAGCTGTAGTAGTATTAGGATAAAAGATTAACTTCTTCATTTAATTAGTAGAATTTCCATCTTGATTTTTACCTCCAAATGAATAAATAGTTTCAACTGGAATTAGGTCAGTAGTATTATCATTAAATTTTGAGGATTAAGAAATATTGATGATGGAATGACAACAGATAGGTGTTGATTTGACATCCCATTATTTCCATATCATTTTTTCTATATTATATAAAGCAGTATCATTTAAAACTTATTCATTACTGTTAACTCCTCCATATACAAGCATCCATTTCCATCCATACAAACATGCTTTATGATGTCTTCTTGGTTCTATGTAATCTCCTTATACATTAAGTTTTTCCCAAAACCTTGTACTAGCATTGTAATCAAAAACAGTGTTAAAACATTCTCTTACTTTCAATTTTGTATTAAATTTACAAGACCCCCCAAAATAGATAAAATGATTCCTTAAAGCCACTACTGTTAATGCTGCTCTACCATTTTTTGGCATTTCACCCTAACCATTTACTACATGCCAATCCTAAAATCCTACTTAAATGATAGAGTTACTTAAATCAAATCTAAGCATTTAATCTCTAATTCCATCTCCTGCTATTCCTCCATATAAATATAGTGAATCTCCATATAATGCCATTGATCCACTTTCAGTAAAAGAAGGTCTAAAACTCCTTGCACTTCTAAAAAATTCTTAAGTTTCACCATAGAATGTCAACTAAGGAGGATGATCAATTTCAGCTTCTACTGTTGGTAATGCTAAATTAGGCATTTAGTACACTACAATAATAAATATTAGTACCTCTAGCTCCTTCTTTTAGGTTTACTCTCTTTTTTGGGGAATGATCTCTCCTTTTTAATTTTTATACAACTCTGATTTTTAATTTTTTTTGATTTCCTTAATCTAATGCATCTGATATAACTTCTTAATGTCTTTCTGTCATTTATGAAATTATTTATTCACGTTAAACTTTGTTATGGGTTAATTACATCATCAGTCTGGCTCTTGGAGATGGTATTCGCAATATTGTTTTTGAGAATGCCTTACTAAATCTACTTTGTTATGGTACGCTTTCGGCATTTCAGTAAATGTCTTAAATAATGCACTCTGCGTCACTGGAGTATTTAGAAGGGTACGTTCAGATTACAGAATCTCTATTTACGGACTCACTCCTTAAGATGAAGATCGCAAATGCATTATATTTTAATTAAATGAATTAAGTTACTATATAGAGTTCATAATTTAAGAGTAATTCATAATGTTTAAAGTCGAAAGAGACAAACCATACTATAAGAATCTAAATTTTATAATAATTTATCTTGATCTATTTTGTATAAATGATTATATACAGTACAATAATTATTGATCCAGTTATTAAATAATCCAAATATATAATACTTAAATTATTTTTATTAGAGTTATCTATTATAATAGATGACTAGATTCAATATTTGGAATAATAAGAATTTAAAATAAGCTGAATAAATATTTAGAAATTATAAATTCTTTATATATATTATCATATAGCCATATCAATTAAATATTATTATTATTATATTCAGTAATCATTTGATTATGAGTTTTCATATTATTTTTGGACAATCAATTAAATTAAGATTTAAAAGAATTACTAAATATTTTCCAATAGAAACTTTAATTAATCTGATTAAAAACATGGTATGATATCATAAACTATTTTAACAAAGAATTCCATTCTCATATATTAATAACAATTAGATAAAACAATAATAGAGAATAATTTTAATTAAAGTCTAATTTACCAAATGACAAATTATATGTATTATATTTGATAATTATTTATTTTTGGCAACTTTTGGATTAGATTTTTTAATTGGATATAAAATTGTTTTAAAAACTATTAAGTATTTAACAAAAACTATTATTGCTTGCAAATTAATCAGAAATATTGAAGGAAAGGGTTTAATGAAATAAATAGTAAATTTAATTATTCGCAATTAAATTAATTGATTAAGATTATAAAACAACTTTAATAATAATAAGAGTTCAATTTATTTATTATTGTTAACTACTATTTAATGTATCAATCATCCCCTGAAAAACGAAAATAAATGCAGAATTATGGAAGATCAATGGAAGACATGACTTGCATAATTGATTGTGGATATATGGGTTCTCTCTTTCTAGGAAATATAGAAAGTGCAAGTATTATGACATAATATACAAGCTGATCTTGCTCTACTTAAAAAACATAGAATAACAGCTATTTTATCTATCTGTTTGTCTAAAATACCATTTACTGTTAGTTCATAAATGAAATAATATGAACATATCATTTTGGAAGATAGTGAGAATGAGAATATTTATCGATATTTTAATTCTTCTTTTGAATTTATTGAAAAAGGAAGATAATCAGGGAATGTTTTAGTTCATTGTATGGCAGGTATTTCCAGGAGTGCAGCATTAGTTGCTGCCTATTTGATGAGGAAACATAATATGTCTTCTAAAGAGGCCTTGTAATAGTTGGAAAGGAAAAGATGGTAGGTTTATCCTAATGATGGCTTTGTCAAATAGTTACTTTTATTCGAAAAAGAATTAAATCATTAATAATAAGAAATACCATATGACTGGAATGCAAAAATAATATATAATTAATAAAATAATATTAAAAGTAAAACAAGCTCTTCAGATAGGTTAATTACTAAAATAAATAAGTTTAATGATAATGAATCTATTTCTAATGAGTATTAAAAAATTAGAATGAAGTATATAGATGATGAGAAATCTCTTGATATATTGCAGAAATCTACTTAATATTAATTATAATAATAAAGGAAAACTCAATTTGAAATATTAAATAATGGAATTAATATTTAAATTTAAAGATTACAATAACTTTCTAATAGTAATAGTAATAGAATAATTAATGCATTAGAACCTAAATAAAGAATAATTACTGAAAACCAACAAAAAAAACGAGCATTAATGGATGCAAGTAATAAAATTAAATATATATATAAGTAAACAATTTCAGCAAGAATTCATCGGTTAACAAAGGAATATAAGTAGAGACAAGTCTATATGTTCCAAAAAAACAGGAATTTAGTCATAAATATTAAGCAGCTACAACTAGAGATTATCCTTTAACAAATGGTTTTAAGGCTGCAAATAATTACTAATAAAAACTTGATAATCTTCTTAATTAGTTTAGTAAGAAATCTTAATACTAATATAACTGAGTATATTAATATAGGAAAATAAAAATATATCAATCTTATTCATTAGCATTTTTGATGAGCATTTCTGTAAATTCTTAAAAGTTTACAATCCCATCTCCATTTAGATCTAATTCATTAAATACATTATTCCATTCACCTTCACTTAATTAAGCTCCTCCCATTATTTCTTATAACTCTTATTTACTTATGTATCCATTTCCATCTTTATCAAAAAGTCTAAATGCTTTTTCTAATTTATTCTAAGCCATCAATTATTCTTTTTTTGCAAAGGCAACTATAAATTCAGTGTAATCAATTTAATTAGATCCATTAACATCAGCTTATTAAAATAGATTTTCAACTATATCTTAACATTTCATTTCATCATCATATATTTCTCTATAACATTTAAGAAGTTCTTCTTTACTTAATGTACCATCTTTGTTAACATCTATCTTTTTAAATTAAGTTTAAATTTTCTTTTTTTCTGTATTAGACATAACCTATGTTGTAATAAGTTACATTATAGCTGCTTTTAATTTACTTTAGCTCTTATGTAAAAAAATTAAATTTACATGAAATTTAGCTAATTTTTCTAAAGATTTTGAGTTAATTTTCTTGTCTTTTTGATTAATTACCATCCATTCATGACATAAAGCTTCAGATGCAGAAATCCTAATTTCAGGATCCGTTACCAACATTTTTTTAATTAAGTTTTTTGCATCTTCAGAAATGTCTTCCCATTCAGGTTCTTTGAATTTTAAAACATTTATTTACCATCAAATGAAAAAATACCACTTTATATTTTTTAATATAATTCTTATTAATTTTATCCATTAAAAGGAGGATAACCACATAGCATAATATATAATATAACACCACAAGACCAAACATCGCATTTTTAATCATAACGCTTATTGATTACTTCAGGAGCAATATAATATGGCTTTTTAAGATAATTAATTATATATACTGTTCCTATTCTTTGAGATAATTTATTTGAATCAGCAATTTACTTAGCTGTTCCAAAATCAATAATCTTTAAACTAGAATGTGACTTCTTAGAATCAAATAAAATATTTTCAGGTTTTAAATCTCTAATTATAATATTTGTTATACTCACATACCTATGTACAATATTACGAGTATGACAATAATTAACTGCTTCTAATATTTTTCTGATATATCCTGCAGCTATTGTTTCATTGAAATGATCTATTTGATTTATTTTCTCAAATAACTCTCCTCCACTCAAATATCTTAAAATCTATTGAAATAATAAAGCATACTCTGTGATAATATAATAAAAAGTTTCATCTTCATATAATTCATAAATATTAACAATATTTGGATGATCTAATTCTTTGAGTATAGACACTTCCTATATCAATCTATCCTTCTATTCAATAACTATTTTATCCTTTCGAATTTATTTCATAGCTCTTTAAATTCCTGTTCCTTTTTATGTTACTAGGCTTACTTTACCATAAGTTCCTTTATAAACTATTAGTTTTTGATACCTTCTCCTAAAATCTAATCTATTTTATAAGAATTTAATAGATCTCCTTTCTTCAATGTAACAAATATAGATGGATCAACTTTGAAATCTGTAAATTGTTTAACGAATCTCGATTATTTTGAGGATCCTAGGTTTTCATTATTTGAAGTTGTTCCTGTTTAATCCTTAGTTTATTCAAGAGTTAGCTTAGAGATTTTCTTCCCTTAACCTCCACATATACCCATTAAAAATACTCTTTAAATTTAATTTATAATTATACAAATATTTTACCTAAGGATTTTTAATGTATTCATATAATAATTCTCATTAATTTGGTAAAGAATCAGTAATTACAATTAAACTTTCTTTATAATCTAACTGTCTTTTATGCCGTTTCTATTAAAAATTATAGTTATTCTCAAATTGTAGAACATTAATCTATATTCCTAAAATATCTCTTAAAAAACCTGCTTTTTGGATCCTATGGAAAGATATAGAGAACTTTGTAAAAGGATGTGTTAATTTTGAAATAATATAGTATTTAATTAAGAATTAATGGATTTATGCAATGTATGTTCAGAACTTAAATTAAAATTTTGATACAATATTATATATAATGTATCGGATCTTAAAAAAAATTAGAAATACATAAAATTTCTAATTTTAACAGACTATCAATATTTAATTATTTTAGAATTTATAGTTCCTTCATTTTAAACTTTAATATCTATTATTTTAAAAATTACATAATGTAATTATTCATTTCTTAACTTTTTAATCAAATTATTAATAAATCCAGATTATATCCTCATATTTTTGTGTCAATAGTTTTTCTATCATAAAGACTTCAAATAAGTAAAATTAAAAAAATGATTTTTTAAATCTTAATAACTATTATGATTTCATATTATTTCTTGATTTTATTAATATTTAATCTTTTCTAAGAAACGTAGATTTTTTATTTAGTATTTTAACATTTACATATTATGTAATTAATTATTTTAAAATAGTATCAATTATAAAATGAGGATTTCTTAACAAGTTATTTAGATGGTTATCGATAGAATGATTGACTTCTAGGCTTGTCTAATAATTGTAGCACTTCTTTCATAAATATTTTATTTTATTAATTATATTCTTCTTAAGTTTATTCAATTTTTTTGAATAAGTTTACAAGAGGTTTTTCTTTTTCATACTTATTTTTAAAGTCCTTAAGTTCATATTGCAATCTCTCAGTTTTAATTTTTTCATCTTCAATTTCTGTTTTCAGATTTTTGATATTGAGTTGTGTATTTTATGAGAGAATAGAACGATATGAAGAAATTTCATTTTATTATTTTATAATCTATATAAATCTAAAATATATTTATACAATTTATTATTTTTCTTAAAGCATGTTTTTCTATTATTCTAATGTTTTTTCCAGAAATTTAATTGTTGACAGTAACTTCGCATTTATTTTTTTTAAATAATCAATTTTGTCTTGGTACATTTTTTCTATATCTTGGATTTCCTTAATAATGGAACTATTCGAATATTGAATAGGATCTTAATTCTCTTTATAGTTAGAAATAATCTCAGATGATTTCATTAATGATGACATTTTGGATGGCCTATCAGTATTGAGTTCATATTATTAAGAATATGGTTTCTTATGAAATCGTTATTGTTAATTAAAACTCATTATAATATTAATTGATTTTGTAAGTTACCATTAAACAATTATTTATTTTTTAAATTTCTTAAAATAATATCAATAAAAGGATTAAGACTCTTAAATATAAATAAGATTAAAATACATCAAAAAATAAAGAAGTTTATGATACTCAATATATTTAAATTGATATTTCTTAGAATTAGATATATTTACTATCATAGGGAATTCATTAAATAATTATTGAATACATAAATAATTTACTTAAAACCCTTTAAGAGTGAGTTAAGATAATATGCTTAAATTTTCAATGTTTAAATTATTGATGTAAATGAAATGTTTTCTGAATAAAAATTTAAAGGATTACTATGAAAATTGTTGATGCTTAAATGTTATTAGAATTTAATAATAGCAAATTCAAAGATAGAGGGTATAATATTTGTGAAATAATATTTTATTTAATATATCTGATATAATCTATAAAAAGGAATAAAATATAAATAGCTAATAATTCGACACATATTAAAATTCAAAATGATAGAATCTCAATTAAAATAACAATGAGATTACCTATAATAAGGAATACTATTATATGTTAAAGTCATTTATACTTTTCATCGATCTTGCAAACATTAACCAATTGACAATAATTCCTTTCATGTGTTAAGACCCTCCTTCATGTGCTCTTGTATAATCGACTTTATCAAAACCATCTAAATGATTGTATATTTAATACATTTTGATAAGACTCGCTTCTCATTTAGAATGGCAAATCCATTACTAATTAAGACAATAGCTTCCAGTAGTGTTATTAATATCATAAAAAAAATAATTAAAATATGAAAGCCAAGAAACAATAGGATGATGCAGTTATTGAGGATGATCTTGCTAGAACAAAATCTTAATTAGTATTAGAGTTTGTAATTAAATAGGACTACTTTCCAAAATGGTAAGAATTGAAACCGCTTGGAAAGAACATTCATCGAAGATCTTATCATTCTTGTGTGACATGGGATAATTAGTAATAATTGTATAATATTAATAAGTATCTATGTATATGGTGGATATGAAACAAATGAGGGTATATTAGATGATTTGATGAGAATTCCAATACCTAATACAGATAAATCCTTGGAGTGGACATAAGTTTACAAGAATCCTTAAAAAGAATTAAAAGGACCAGGACCTTTAAGAAATCATAGTGCAGTTGTCTATTAAAATAAGATGTACATTTTTGGAGGAAAAGAGAATCTAATATAACCATGTTGTAAATTGTGGATATTTGATTTTTAAAAAGAGAAATGGGATGAAGGGTAAGATTGTAAAATAAATGATTAAACAGTTTGTGTTGAAGGACATAATAGTTGTTTATTTGTTCAAGAAGATGTAAATAAGCTTTTAATTGATATTAGATGGCATCAATGATTGTATTTGGTGGTTTTTATACAGATAAAGGTTATGTTTCTCAAATTCTCTAATACTAATTTAAAGAGAATATATGGTCTCTTTATTATGAATAGCAAAAAACGAGTCCTTAAGGTAGAGCAGGAGCAGGTGCTGCAATTTTGGGAAATGATTTATATGTATTTGGAGGTTGTAATTACGAATAAAGATTTTCTGATTTTTGGAAGTTTGATTTAATAAATAAGAAATGGGAATAAATTAAAACTGAAAAATCTCCAGGAGTAATAATATATTTATATATTTTTAGTCTCGATCTTCTTCAGTTATTGTATCACATAATTAAGGATTATATTTATTTGGAGGAATACATGATATTACTCATGAGAAGAATGATTTATGGATGTTTAAGAATAATGATTGGATTTTATTAGAAGAAGATAATAGTAGAAGATAAGTTAATGATGAATTGAATGATTCATTAGATAAAGCAAGTTAGAGTAAACCAAATAAATAAAAAGAAAAAGCAAAAATATAAGATATTTAAAATAGAACATTATTTTTATTAGGTGAAGATAGTGAATTAAGAAGTCCATAAAGAAGAGGTTCAGTAAAAAATATTAGTTTACCTGCTGGTACACAGAAAATAAGTACAGAATAAAACAATGTTTCTTAAGCTACAAATAATATGGAAGAACTTAAGAAAAGAAGATGGTAATAAAAGAAAATGTAGATGCTGTAAAATATTATATTTATTTATAGTGCTGAATTTGATTTGACAGAAGAAGAAAAATAAAAATTTAGAAGTTCATCTCCTACAACTGAATAAATCAAGAATTCCATCAATTTAATAACAAATTAAGATAAAGGTGGATAAAGAAAGATTTCTTCACCTATTGGAAGAAAATAATAATAAGCATAACTTATTGGAAAAAAACCATGTGCAAGAGATGGTCATTCAGTTATAGTAGTAGGGGAATCTATGATTGTATTTGGAGGAGATCGTAATTTAATGTCATTTAATGACTTATATATGTATTCTTTCAGCATGCCAAATAAACCAACAAAATGAAAATTCATTAATTATATAAATTTCTGATATTAATTATTAGAGTTAATGATATATTTATTTTAGGCAGAATGTCTCAGATAACCATAATATCTTGTGTATAAATATTAATAAAAGAAATTTATATCCATAAGAAAATTTAAATAATTTAAAAGTAAATGGATAACGAAGAAGCATAATTTTAATTTAGTTCAAATGAAACTAAAACTTAAGACCCATAAATATAATAGGATAACATAGAATAACAGTATTATCAAAAATAATTTTTAGATTTTAATACAATGATTTAAAGATGTCATAGAAAGTTGGAGGAGGCATTAATCATCTAAAAATAACTAAAGAATCTAAATCTATGAAAACAAATTCTTTATCAAATTCATAAAGAGCTGAATTAGCTGATTAAAAAAGAGCATAGTTATAAAGTGCTAATTAAAAAAAACAATAAGTTCCTGTATAACAATAAGTTCCTGTATAACAATAAGTTTTTATACAACAATAACAACCAATCAAATAATAATAATAATTTTAATAACAAATACCAGCAAATTAATAATAACCTTAGAAAAATAATATTAATATAGTTTAAAATAGATAATAAAAGTAAGATTAAGGCATCTTCGGTTCAGTCAAGAACTATTTTACTAATCTATTGGGAAGTGATCCAAAACATTAATTTGTTTATCAACCCACAAATGTTTATAATGATGATGATGATATTTTATATTAATATCATAAATAAGATGGATAGTAAATGAATATTGAAGATATGGTTGAATTAAGAGTTTAAGCATAATATGATTATTGTAAACTTAAAAAATCAGAAAAATAAGTATTACCAGCAATGGTAAGTATTATTACAAAAGATATTGAATAATATGCCAAAAACAACTCTTCAATAGAGGCAGGTATTGATTTATTATGTGTTATTGATAAAAGTGGAAGTATGAGTGGATAAAAAATTATGAGTGTTTAATAATCTCTTGTATAATTGTTAGATTTTCTTAGTGAAAAGGATAGATTATGTCTTATAGTTTTTGATGGAAGAGCTTAAAGACATACCTCTTTAAGAACTTTAACTTAAGACAATAAGAAATATTTTAAAAATGCTATAGCTGCCATATAAGCTGGAGGATCAACAAATATAGCAGCAGGAACTGAGATTGCATTTAAGTAAATAGAAGAAAGAAAAATGAAAAATTAAGTCACTTCTATATTTTTATTGTCAGATGGTTAAGATCCTGGAGCAGCTCAACGTATTTAATAATAGAAGGATAAAATTGAAGATGTAGTTACAATTCATTCATTTGGATATGGAAATGATCATGATGCAGCTTTAATGTCAAGTATTTGTAAAATAGGATAAGGAAGTTTTTATTATATTGAAAATGTGAAATTATTAGATGAATTCTTTGCAGATGCTTTAGGTAGATTATCTTCAGCTTTAGCAGAAAAAGTTTAAATTGATATTAAATGTGCACCATAAATACCTTATTAAGATGTAAAAATATAAAAAACTTATGGTGATATGTGGAAACCAATAGATTAAGAAAGATTTTATTAAATAAAAGTTCCATAAATTGCATCAGATTCAAGAAAAGATTATGTATTTGAAATAGCACTTCCACCTTTTACTGAATAAATTCTAGATGAATAAAGAGTTCCTTAAGTAATTTAGGTTTATATGTAATTCTGTAATACATTTTCAAAATAAATTTATTAAAAAGTTTCAGTTTTATAACTTAAACTTTATAATGAAGATGAATAAATTGGAGAGAATGATCCTAATGACGATGTTACAAGAGAATTCTTACGTGTTTAAGCAACAGATGCTATAGATTAAGCAAGGAAGAAATGTGAATTATCAAAGAATGAAGAAGCAGAAGAAATGTTAGAAAAAATGAAATAAAATATTCTTACTGATTAAAAATTGGCAAAAGTTTCTGCTTAAGCTATTATAGATATTGATTAAGCTAAAAATGCTAGTAAAAGAAATAATTATGCTAATTTTGGAATGAAATAAATGTATTAAATGTCAGTAAATAATTACTAATAAGAAGGATTGAATGCTTAATTTGATTAAAAAGGAGCATAAATATAATAAATTGATTAAGGAATGTTTTAAAATAGGAAATAACTTAAAATGGTATAATAAGTTTAGAAAAGAAAATCTTGATTATTTATATATATTATTATTTGAATAAAATTTATAATATACCATCCTCATTATGTTTGAACATTTTTAAGCTTAGTTAACAAAGATGATAATTTATTGTGTAAATTTTACCAATCCTCTTTAGTTAACAATTTTTTGAAATTATCTCTAATATAGTATATTTTATTACAAAATAAAAATTCTTTATTAAGATTAATCAATTTAAGCTGAAACATTTTAAGATTAAATTGCATGAATAACCCATATCTCCACCTCTTCTAATTTGATCTATAATATAATATTATTTAATATATACATTCAAAGCCTCAGCAATTTCTTAATATGTATAACTTTATTTTTAACCTGATAATTATATAAATTTTGCTATTCTTGTCTAATTTAAATATTATTTACTATTTAAATCTAAATATTATCTATAAAATTTATACTTATTGATTTAAAATAATCTGCTTCCTTCTCTAAATATGTTTAGACTCCTGATAAATCTCCAGATAATACTAATTTAATAAGTTATGCAACTTAAGTTTTTTCAATGACTTGATAATTTTGACATTAAGTGATTTCACATAATTTTAAAAAGGATTACTTAAAATATCAATATTATAAGTACATTTGTGTTTTAAAAGTTAATAAATGTCTTAATGTATTATTCTTAAGAAGTGTTAATGTTTCTCAAAATGTATTCAGAAATTTGTAAAACATATTGTTAACTAGAATATAATTTTAATATAATATACTCTTGGGGATCAATCAAATCTTAAATTGCATTTAATATTTTTAAGACTTCAGCACCACTTAGTGTCCATAAATTTAAAAATTCCTTTATATTTGAAATTATGGGAGATATAATTAATTGTTATGTATTCCATCTCTTTGCAAATTCAAGTAATTTCAAAAATAGATTCTATGACAATTAAGATGAACTTAATGTATTAAATAATTATGCAACACTATTGAATAAAGATGCAAAAATACATTTTAGTTTTAAAAATAGCATCTTCATTAATCTATTCAATGTGCTTTAAAAAGAGATCAACAGTGACTTATTATTCTTTAACTTCAAGTTTAGTCATCCAATATTAAATTGCAGAATATATTGGTTATAATACTAAAATATGATTTGCTAAATACAAGTTTTATCTTATGATAAGTTGATAATGTCAAGGGTCTATCCAATTAATTCTTTATATTTTTATTATTCCAATAATTCATCAAAAACAACACCAAAATCAGCTATTTTATTATGATTGCTTAAGTTAAAACAAACAAATTTACTTAGATGAACAATGCTTCTATAATAATTCCATAGTTTTTTGGCTACTCAATCCTTAACCTAGGTATTGGAAATGTAAAGACATGTTAATAAACAATTAATAAATTAATTTTACCACACATAATTACTAAATTCAATTATTTAATTATACAATAATAAAAGTTATATCATCTCTAGCAGGACTATTCTTCTTCCAAGAATTTATGGCTTCCATCATTAATTTCTCTCCTGCTTAATCAAGTTCTCCTTATTCATAATAAGGAATAATTATATTCATGACCTAAATTGAATAAATGATTAAATTCATACATCCTCATTTGATAAATATTCCCATACTCCATCAGAAGCAATTACTAGGAATTTATCATTTTATTATAAAGTAAATTGAAATACTTCAGGAATACTACTAACACCAGCTTATGCTCCTAATTTATCACCCATACTTCTAGTCATAGCTAAACCTGGAGCATCTACATAAGAAAGCCAAACTCTTTCTGGACCAACATTATTTCCAAAGAAATCTATAAAATTTTTAATTATAATTACCTCTTTAACTTTATACTCTTCCACCAGCTTATAGAATTCTTTACTTTTCAGATTCATCTGATGGTTTATGATCTCTAGTTAATGGTATTGATCTCCAACCATTTTAATTTCTACACAATATAGCTCTTGAATCACCTACATTGGCTGTCCATAATTAATTTTATTAGATCATAGCTATGACTGTAGTTGATCCAGATAATGCTGTATCAAATTAACTTTATAATATTTCTGAATTTGTTAATTCAAAAGCATTTTTAAAGCATTCTTCCATATCTGGATTTTGAGATTATAATTAGAATTCCAAATATACTAAATTTAAATATACTTAATTTACTTGGTAATCTTTATTTTATAAGATCTGAAACAAAATGTCCATTTACACCATGTCCATCACAAATCCCAACTAATCCATAATTTTAACTTTTCTAAATAACTGCTCATTTATACCTCTCAATATTAGATGGAAATATTATAGCTGCATCTTAATTTGTCTTTGTTTATTTATTAACTTAACAACCAGCCTTTGTTTTATGAACAAATTTCAATCCTTACCATTATTTTCCTCCTCCTTTCTTTTTACTATAAGAACTGTTCTTTTCAGGACTTTCAGATATTCTTTATTCAGGTGTAAATGATGTTTTCTTTTATTTTGGTTTTAATTTCTATTATTCTTCATCTCTTGGAGTTTAATTAAATTGAATTTCATATTTAGATTTTGATACTTCATTTCTACTTTCTAATTTAGGTAATCTATTAGGAATTCTTAATCCATTTCCTTGATTAAGAATAGATATAGGTTATGCAACTATTATTTATATATTAATTACTATTCTCTACTGGATTAAATTCTGTTTTTCTAAATTTTGTTAATGAAGGTAATGAGATCTTATGAATTCTAGAATCAGTTTCATCTGCAGTAACTTTATATCGTTTTTATAGAAGAGGCTTCTAAGTTCTTTCTTATTTTAATTTATTTACCTATGCAATTCAATTTAATTTTCTCCTTAAGGATGTCTTGGTGGTTTTAACGAACTAAAATCTAATATAACAATAATCAATAATTAGTTTAAATTATATAGTAGTATATATATTATGAATAATAGAGTATTAATACCTATTTGTGAAGCTTGCCTGGTTTTAAAATCAAATTAATGCTATTAGTTTTAAGTTAACATAAATTATATAATAAATTATAAAATGAGAGTTTCAGAGAGTGTAGGTCAAAAATTAAGGAGAGTAAATATAGAATATTAGTAATATGAGATGATAGATAATTCTATTGATTATTATTTGAAACCTGTCAAACCTAAATTAAATTATTGCAAACTTCTACCAAAATAATAATCTCCTCATAGAGAAATAGCACATACTGTTTCATGTAGAATTAGACCATAAATAATTACTTAATCATAAACAGAAGTAATTAATTAAAAGAGTCTATAAACTCTTCCTATTCGATAAATCATTCCTAATAATCATAATCGTTCTTTTGTTTTAAAACATAAGAAGCCAAGCATTTAAGAACGTTATAAATAGATAATGGTAAATTTAAATCAAGAAATAGGAATATAATGTTGAAGAATAATTTGTTGAATTAAGGAGATTAATGACTAGATAGAAAAAATCATCCAGTCTTGGAAAAAGAGTTAAATTTTTATAATGATTCTTTTATTTATTTAATATTATTAATGTCTCTTATTGATCAATTATGTCAAAATATACTAGAATTTAAGGGCACAATGATAGAAGCTTAAGATTTGATTAAAGCATTTTTAGCAGATATTATGATAAGAATATTTGGAGTAGAATAGAGACTATAATAATAAGTGTTTAGAAATTGTAATAAGAATTGGAAAGTTGTAGAATCAAACTTAATAGGCTATTTCTAAAGTAAGTAATCTTTAATTATTCTTAAGATTCTCCTATCCCAATTTAAACACTTTTTAACGAAAACAAATATAAAAATGAAGGTTTCATAAGCAGTGACGATGAGGAGACCATTAAGCATAGTAAAAGAGTAGTTGTTAAGAGAACCAAATCTATAATAAAAGAAGCTCCATAAAATGATAATTTCAAAGATGAGTAAATTCGAATAAGAGATTAGGTTATCTAAGATATGACTGTTGGGTATTATAAGGATATTTAGCATCTTAAAGAAATGTTCTTAAGAAAAGAACGTCAATAAGATGATGACATTATAGATGCCACATATTATGATATTACAAAATCATTTCCACCTGAAGTACAATTCTACTTATAATCTAAATTAAAAGAAATGTCATAATAAGCAAAGTAATAGCAAACCAAATTACAAACTTAAATTAATTAGTAATAGAGTGAAATTGAGAAACTTAGAAAAACTATTAATTAAATTGTTTCATAGGCTGATATTATTTAATAAATTAAAGCTATTTTAATAATAGATAGAGATCTAAATCGTTTTTGGAGAGGAGTATAAGATGTAATTGGTAATAGATAAATATTTGAAATATTTGAAAAAAAACCAGCTGGTTATGGGATTGATTACAAATAAATAGATGAATTAATTAACTAATCTTAAGCATCTTATAGGATATTTTCAGATTATAAATAAAAGATTGATGGTAATAAAGGTTATTATTTAAAATAGAATAATATCTTTTATTTACAGCTTAAGTGGACAAAGAATTATAATTGTTAAGAAATTAAGTTAAGATATTAACAGATAAATCAAATGGATAAGAAATTGAAAAATAAAAAGATTTTGTTTAAATTAGACAAACTTTAAAGGCTGGTATTGAATATGTTTATGAAATGAAAGAACAAGCTAGTATTTATTTATTTCATTAATATTAATAGTAAAAGCTAATTTTATTCAAAAATTAGAATAATATGCAGAATCTATTTTACAAAAAGATATTTTATAATAAGTAAGAAGATGTATTAAGGGTCATGCTCTTTATAAATGGATGTATTTAGCAAAATGTGAAAAATTGTAAAATCATAAAATACTAAGAAAATCTTAATCTGGATCTATTAATATTTTTGATGTTTCTTGTAATCCAAGAGGATTATTAGATAGAAGAATTGATGATCTCAAAAAATAATTAAAATTATTAGAATATAATCTATCAGAGGAATAATTACAATCTTAATAATTGATTGTTGAATTAAATTAAATGAAAACTAAATATTAATCTATTTTAATGAATTATGAGATGTAACTTCATAAATATATGTATATGGAATAACGTACAATTTATTTAGAAAATTAAAATAAATATTTTGAGAAAATATTCTCTCTTTTAATGAGACGAATTGGATATCCTTAATTTGAAGTTAATGAAAGAAATATTAATTATATATTAGAAAAAGCAGATTCTTAAATAAAATCATTTTAAAATAAAATAAATCAAATACAAAATAAAGACATAGAAGATATACATGAATTGACTTCTTAACTTATTAAAAAAACAATTATTAGAAATAAACTTAATTAATATTAAAAATCTACATCATATTGTTAAACTGATATATTTGATGTATCAATAAAAATTGAAGATTGTATAAAATTGATTGAATAAAATTAATTATAATTACTTTAAATGTAGGAATAATAACGTTTATAGGCTGAATTAGAATATTAAAAAGAATAAGAATAGTTATAATTAAATAATGATGATATACCAAATATCTTATTATCTGATAATGAAGAAGAACCAAAAGAATAAAAACTTATTAATAAGATAAGTTAAGAAAGATCAACTGAAATAGATATTAATAATATGAATTAATCTGATTTTGATACCAAAATATTAAATCCTCCAAAAACTGCTGACAATAAATAAAAAGGTTAATAATTATTTACATTTATTTCCAAAAAAAAAACTATTAGTTTATCTACTAAGAATAAAGAAATATAAACAGAGATTTAAGTAGATTGTAGAGCTAATTTAGTTAATAAAATATTTATTAATGAGTAAATATTATAATTTTATCTTTAGTTTAGATGAATTTAAAAAGAATGTTAAAGAAAAGCCTATGTTTAAAGAAATGAAAAAAGTACCTTAATAATCAAGACCTGAATTATAGAATACATTTGCAACTTTAATATCTTAACATAATGTCAATAAGAATAGAAAACAAAATAATATTTTTTTACATTCAATTAATCATAAACCAATTCAAATTAATTGTTAATAAAAATTGAAAACTGATTCATCAGGTCTTGAAATTGATTAGAATGTAACCTTTACTAATGATAGAATTAAAGTTGTTTATACACCTAGCAAAAAGAAAGTAAGAAGTGTTAGTAAAAATGTTTGATTAAATATTACTTAATTTAATGTATAGAATTATTTTAACATTAAAGTGTTTACTTTGGTTTCTAGGAAAATGGGAAGTAGATTTGACTTGGCTACCTTACTTCTCAAATCCATATACATAATATAATAATATTAGGGAAGCAAAATATCTATTAGCAAATAATTACAATCCATATAGTACAGATGGGATATTTTAGAAACCCTTAATTGTATATGGATTAGTATATATTGATAATGACCACATATTTTTGATAGCCGATATTTTGATAAGCTTTTTAATAGTCTCATTATTTGGGGCAAAGTAAGGATATAGGAAATCTATTTTGCTATTTTATCATTTGAATCCAATTACTGTAAAAAATGATTAATATTGTAGTTTGCAAACATTATATTAAAGAATACAAATGTATTTGATCATTTATTTTTGTTATTGACCATATACTCAGCATTAAAAATTAAACTTCTGTCACCAATATTATTTGGATTTTTACTATATTTAAATCCTTAATATTTTATTGTGTTAGCAGTAATTTCTGTAATTTTCAGAAGAGAAACATCTACTACATAAAAATTTGCATTTAAATTGATAGCATTTCTAATAGTAAGTATTGTGACTATAGTATGTTTATTACATGTTTCATATATAATAACTGGTGATTGGTAATTTATTGAGAAAACTTATATTGATTATTATTTCCCTAAAGATCATAGACCAACAATAGGATTTTTATGGGCATTATTTTCAGGAGTATATATGATAAAATATTTTAGTTATTTTCAAAGTATAAGTCTTTATATCATGCATTTTTTATGTTATTACCTTCTTGCTATATTTTACCATTATATAATTTATTTGTGAAATATGCAAAAAGAGAGAAAGAGTATCTTGGATTTATGATAGGAGTTTCATTATTTGTAATTATTGATATTTAATATTTTAGTGCAGTTTCTTATATTTTCAATATATTGCCATATCAGATTTAGTCATAATCTTTATACTTTTATTTTAAAGATATGATTGGTTATTTAATTCATTACCTACAATAGTTATTATTCATGCAGGATGCTTAATATTATTTTTAGGAGGTGGTTTATAATTAACTTGGACTCATTCTTTTACAGGAAATCCAAATTTTACATTCTTTTAAGTTTTTGTTTCATATGTGTTTTATGTTATTTTAGTATCTGAAGGAGTCAGAGAAATGTTAAAGTTTAGAACAATTTAAAAGAAAGAAGAGAATGAAAAAATGAAATAAAATGGAGAACATTAAAAGAAAGAGAATGAATTAATAGATAAAAAATTAAAAGAAGATTGAAATAAAAAACAAGATTGATCATTATTATTTTATTAATTTATAACATTCAAGACTACATGCTTTCTATTACATTTTTGGAATACGATATCTAGCTAGATTAGAACAATTTGAACAATATTTATTATCTTCAACTATCATTTTTGATGGATTTGATAATTATGAATTCATATATTTTGGCATTATGATAAATGTTCCTTCACTATTTGATTTATATTTGATTATAATATCATCTGGTGGTAAAGATCTATATTTATGAGTATCCTCTGTTTTTTTATCTTCTTATTATTATCTTTATTTTTATTTTCTTCCTATTTCATTTAAGATTTTATCAACAGTCATTTATTTTTATTCTTCTTATTATTTTTATAATTTTTCTTTTCTTTATAATTCTTTCTAACTTTTATATACCATCTCTTCTTCTGTAAAAGCTAAGTCTTTTTTTGATTTAGATTTCTTAGAAGGCAATTATAAGAATTCACTTCCTTCCAAACTACCTAAACTATACATATGCATTTGTCTTTTAGTAAATTTCTTTTCTTTTGAAGAAACAGATTAATTAAAATCATTTTCAAGATCCAACTCTTCTTCTTCAAATTCATCATCTGGTGCGTCATCTTCACCATTAGAGATTTCATCTTCTATTGATTCATCAATAATAGGTGACTTCTATTTAGGAGGTCTACCACGACCTCTTTTTTCCATTACCATAGAGGCTTTTAATTTAATCTTATTGCTTTCAAATAGATTATGATATTTATCTATCATTTCATCTGAAGGTCTTTCAGCTTCTAATTCGTTTAATATATCATTATTAAAAACTATTTGCACTTTAAATTCTTTAGGCAGACAGATCTTCATATAATAATAATAATATATTAAATTAATTAATCAAATTTTAACATAATTAGAGTATAATGGTAATAATAATAATCATCATAGTATTTTGTATTTTACACTTAATTATTTTAAGTATAGTAACAGAAGTTAAAATATCAAGCATTTATAAAATCATTATAATAGGTTTTGGTTGGGACTACTTTATTGAATTTTACATAATTTTATATAGACATATATATTTTTAATAATTATATTATCATTAAAATGGTCCTACCCTTTGTCCTTATAATTGCATTTAAGTGCTTCTTACATTAAAAACTCCTTCTATTATTGTTTATTACAATTCTCCAGTTACTTACTTTTCTCCTAAATCAATATTAAAGTTCTTAACAAATAATGGATTTGGATTTGATAACACATCATCATTACATGATAATCCATCCAAATATTATTTTAATAATGATTATAATTAATTACTCTCATTTTATAAAGCTTCTTTTTGCTTTTAAATTGCTAATATATCCAATAAAACCTAATATATAATATAATTTATATACCTTATTGTATCTCTTATAGAAATTGTTTAGATAAGCAAATTCTTCATATTATTCCTTTTCTATTACTTCAAAATCATTCTTTAAATTTTCTGGAATTTAATCCATATCAACTGTATCTTCATAAAATGGTAATACTTTCTCTCTTTCAGTTTCTAATCTCCTACAAAGTTCAGCTGTTTTTAATATCTTTTCTCCTAATTCTTTATATTCAGTTAATTTTAAAACAGCATTTCTACTATTATTTACTAATTCTTTCAATAATCTTTATTATTCTTCTCTAAATTTATTCATTTTCAATTTTAAATCTTAGTAATTTTTGGCAATATTTTCTTTTTCTTTTTTTAAAGCTTAATTTCTAGCATTGCATTCTTTAGTATGTTATAAAATTTTATATTTAGTTAAATCTATCTTAGCTTTCTTACTAGCTATAGATCTAACCAATCTTTCTATCTTTTTTGACATATCTTTATTAGCATCATAATATTTAGTATGATCTTCAGTTTTCTTTGCAGTATCAGATTGATATTTTTAATGCATCTATTCTAAATCATTATAAAATTTAGTTTGTTTATCTTCTAATTATTATTTCATCTAACTTGTATCTTCTACATCTTTATTCTTTGTTTCTTCTCTATTTGTTTAATGTTAATTCTTAGCTAATTCTGCCTTTCTTTTCTCTTCCTCTTCTACTGTTTTAATCATGTCTTCCAATTCTTTTACTTATTATTTATGAGTCTTTGTCATATCATCAAATTCTAATTAAAATTCTTCTTAAAGTATTTTGATATCTCTTTCAAACTCCTCCAATAATGCTCTATTTCTACTCTCTTATAATAAATGAAAATTTTCTAAATGAATAAGATGGTTCCTTAATGCAATTTGATATTGATCTTCTGCTTCATCTAAATTCTTATCAAGCATTTGAATGAAGGCTTCTTTTGAATCTAATTCTCTTTTATTGTTTTATGAATATAATTCAATATCCTGTTTCAATTACTCTGTTTTAACCGCTCTCATTGTCCTTCTCCAATAAGCCATTAGTTTCTTTGTATTAAAATTAACAATCTTCTACTCTTCTCTAATTTTACTTCGCAGTTACTCTTTTTTAAACTATATAAATGACATAATATACTTAAGCTTACTTTTGACTCTCTTCAAATTCCTATTAAGATTTAGTTATCTATCTAATTTTTATGTTTCTCTTCTACTCAGTACCTCCAGGTTTAGTAGTACGTCCTTTTAAAGTTTTACCTAATAATGCCATTTTATAATTAATAAGAAAAAAATTAGTTTAACATAATAACAATTCATCTTTTTTTAATAGGACTTGCCTTATAAAATGTCTTAAAACAAGTTTAATCTTAATCTGTTGACTTGTTTCTATCTTAATTTCTAGATCGCTTTGAAAATCTGCCATAATAATCAGCCAATATATAATTCCTACTCACTGGAGTCTTTAATTTCAAAACCTTAACATCATTAGACTATTATAATAAACTAGTTTCAAAAAGTGTATTTTTCTAAAAATCCATTGTGTCTTTTCTCCTTACATCTACAGATATATTCATTATTGTTGGAGATTATTATTATAAGATTGTGTTTTGAGTATTGACTGAAATATTTAATCTTGGTTTTGTATCTATAGGAGAATCTTCTCTTTATTATGTATTTCTTGCTATGATAAATATTGATGTATAATAAGTACATTTTCTTTATATTAATGGTAAAGGATTAATTTAATTAATAAATTTTCTATCAGTATATGTAGATTATCTCGTCGATATTCTTTAAGCTTCAAATTATTCAGAGTTTATATCTATGGATTTTAATATATATCACATTATTACCTGCTATAGATTTATTACCTGCTAATATATATTTTTTCAATAAAAGATAATAGGTTGTTGTAATATGATTATGTCGATTTGTTTCAATGCATTTTTCAGCATGTTCACTTTATATTCCATATTGAATCAACTATTTAACTATTTCAGGATCTATTGGTATTCTATGTTAACCAACAATTAGACCAGTTGGTATTTTTTAATTGTCTTAATAAAACTTTATAAGATTCAATTTATACAAAAACTAAACCAGCTGTGTTTACGTATATCTAAAATAGTATATCTTTTTAATGGATCAACATTCAATATATTCTTAATTAAGTCTTTTGCCTCTTATGAAATGTATTTTGGAAATTTAAAATCTCCTGATATTATTTTCTTATATAACTAAGATGTATTAGGATCTTCAAAAGGAAGATATCCTGCCAACATGGCAAATAATATTACACCAGAGCTCCATATATCAATTTGTAGACCATTATATTTTTTACCTGCAATCATTTCTGGAGCAGCATAACAAGGTGATCCACATGCTGTTTTTAATAATTCATCTTGATGATAAAAATTAGATAACCCAAAGTCTATTATTTTAATTTTGCCTCTCCCTTCAAGTATTAGATTTTCAGGTTTTAGATCTCTATGAACTATTTGTAGTTTGTGAAGATATTCAATGCCTGAAATCAATTAACTATAAAATCTGATTGCTTCAACATCTTTTATGCGTTGATTTTGTACTATATAGTCAAAGAGTTCCCCTCCATTCACATATTCCATTACTAAAAATAACTATTTAGGTGTCTCTATTATCTAGTAAAAACTCAAAAATAGTACCTCATACAATTAAACTAAATTTGGATGACGTACCTTCTTTAATATTTGAATCTCTTTAGTAACACGTTCAATATCAGATTAATCACATATCTTCTATTTTTCTAATATTTTAATTGCAACTTTCTCTCCTGTTAAAATATGAGTAGCCAATTTAACTTTTCCAAAAGTTCCTTGTCCCAAAGTCTTACCTTTAAATTATCATAATTTTGAATTACTAAAAATATATTGTCCTATTGACTAATTCTTAGGCAATTCATTTTACATTTTTTTTAATATGATTAATATTATTAGTCTAAGTTTCCCCCCCATAATGTATATTTAAATTAAATGAATTTTCATTTCCCTGGGACCTACTCTGAATTGCGGGAACACCATTTCTCTGAAAACTATAGAGTAAAATCAAAAAATTAAGTGAACCAAATGGATGAAAGACTAATTCTGATGCGTATCAATTAATTTGAAGATGGTTTCAATCAACTCCCAACATTAATTGAAGACCCTTAATATTTTGATTTCCTCTACTATTTAGTCGAGTAATCATTTGAACTAAATCTAGATATTTAGATACACATCCAAATCAAAAAGTATAATTATAATTGGTTGAGATCCTTTCATTTCAAATTCAAAAATTATACCCTGATCACCTTGAGGCATTTAAAATGACTCTCTTCTTATTACTGAATGTATTGCAATAGAAGCAAATATAAGGTTAATAAGTGAGAAGGGCATTAAAAATTTTGTAATAATTATTTAATTTGAATGCTTTCCATGATCTAGGAAGAGAAGGCAGTAGATATATATTTGATCTAGTTAAAATGGCTATTGAGATCAAAGATGCATAAATAAGAGAAATTTGGATTGATATTTTAGTATAAGCAATTGCAATGTGGTCATCTTATGATTTAAATCTCAAAAATAGGATTGTTCATTTGATGTATGAATAAGAGAGTGTTGTTTCCAACATCTCTAAATTTTTATTAGGATGCAGCAAGAATGATAAATTGAAATAATACACTGTAGATCAAATTATTCTACTTGTCAATTACATTACTGAGAAATCAACTAATCAAACTGAAAGTTTAGCAGTTAAAAATCTAAGAGAACTTCTATCTTAAACATCTAAGGAAATGCCAAAAGTTTATTATCAATAACTATCTGCTTTCATTGGTTTATATGACAATGAGAATTATCATATTAGAAATGGATTATCAGAATTAATTACAAATGTCATTGAATATCTAATTAAGGAATCCAAAGATTAAGATAGTGATGAATTATAATTAGCTAATGCCAATAACTTAATTAAATAACTTGTAGATAGACATATGGATAAAACAGCTTTATGTAGATCAAATGTACTCTAATGTTTGTCCTAATTATTAAATTCAAACTGTGTGCCCAAACAACATTTATAAACCATATTCGCTATCTCTTCTTCTAGATTGAGAGATGTCTCTGGTTATGTGAGAAAGTCCTCTTTATAATTATTGAAATCTATAGTGAGATATTATAGATTTTTGTATATTCAGAGTTAAGGAAGATAAAATTTCTGGTCTTTAGTGGAAGTAGAAGAATAAATAAGTAGAAATAGAGAAGAATTATAAAATATCCATAAAGATTTTGAAGAAGTAGATAAACAATTTTAAAATGGAGAAATCACATAAGATATTGTTAATGAAACTATTAAATATATTAAAAAGAAAGCATAAGAAACTATAAAGATTTAAGAATATTTAGAAGAATATTAAAAGTTTTTGGAAGGAATGAAAACTGTAATTATACAAGTTTTATAAT